TGAGCCTTATCCAAACTCCAGATTCAGGCTGAATAAATGATTGTTGTTATCTTAAGTCAAGAAGCTTCAGAATGGTTTTCTATTAACTGGACCACCTTCCACAAAGGATTGATGGTAATGGCATCTTCATGTCTCCATCCCTTTCACTCATTAGTTGGCAGGACCTCAGGCACCCCATCCATTCAGATTTCAGAAACTCAATTCCTGGGTGGTGAGAAGACTACATTTCTATTTCTGTAGAGTGTTTCAAAGAAAGAATATAATTCAAAAATTAAGGGATTTTCTTTAATGCAAGATTATCTAGAACACATTGATTTTATAACAATGCATTTTTATTTCTAAATGAAGTTAAACAGAAAACATCAATCCCCTGTAATCCAGTGGCTTGGGAGGCTGAGGCAGGAGGATGGCAAGTTTAAAGCCAGCCTCAGCAAAAGCAAGGCGCTAAGCAACTCAGGGACCCTGTCCCTAAATAAAATACAAAAAGAGGCTGGGAATGTGGCTCAATGGTCAAGTGCTCCTGAATTCAATCTCCAGTACCAAAACAAACAATCAATAAATCATATTTCCTATATATTTCTGTAATGTTTCTAATATGCATAGACAGCTTATACAAAAGATCCACCTCTGACCCAGAGAGGCCACTGCTATAGATATGAAGGTCACTGACTCTTATGATTCTTCAATGCAGACTTAATTCTCTTGTTCACTAATCCAAAGTTAAAAATGCAGCTTCTGATGCTTCTTTTCTTCTTTTTCATTTCTTTTAATTGGCTGTCAAGACAAGGAAGAGGTAAGAACAAATCAGCTCTTCATATTAAACACCATATTTTGCTGAGCTGGGCATGACTTCTCGTTGCTACAAAACAAATCTAAGTTTATATCAGAGGTGACAAACTCCATGCCCTGTCATTTATCCTTTTTATAGCATGGGTGACACTAACAGTCAGCTAGTCATTTTGATGACTTGTTGATGAAATCAACTTAAAAAGCAGAAAGTCACCAATGTAGAGGTTTCCTGTACCAATAGTTATAAACATTGTTTAAAGATTTAATTAAAATACAACTGCATTAAAAACAAATTCCATTAGGTTTTACTATATGATTTTTATTTTATGTTTACTATAAAAATGTTTTGAAAATCTTAGTACCAAAAAGGATAATCACTGTTAAAACTGAAATATATTTAATGTAGAGCTAAGCCTCTTTTTATATTTTTAACAGAAAATATATTATAATTTAAACTTACTTATAAACATTTAATGATTGCCAATGAAAATCACCATGTAGAGATTTGAATAGGTGCTTTACAAATACCATCAATCCATTTATGCAGCTCAGGTTCAAGTCAAAGATCCTGTAGCCAGCAAATAGAAATGTCTGGTTTTAAACCATATCTGTTAACTCCAAAGCATAATTTTGTATTATTCTATGTGTCAACTTGTGCGTCTGAAGTTTTTCAACTAAAATGATACCCATCATCCTTGACAATATTCATCTATTTACCTAAAACAACAGCTTAATTTCCTATTAACATTTTATTGAATAGATTAATAAAATATTTCACCATTCTGCCCTGTTTGGTTTCAATCTTCCACTTGTATAAACAACACAGCAACAAATATCTTTGCAGATAAATCTTGTTGTATATCCTCAAATATTTCCTGAAGAGGAATTTTTAGAAGTATAGTCACTGAGACAATGAGATGCAAAAAAAATAAATAAATAAAAATAAAAACATTATCATTTCAATAATAATACCAAATTTCCCTTCAAAACAATTATACCAAATTGCATACCTGCTATCCATATGCACTTACATCTGGGTCCTAAAATCTCATTTTTAAAAATGCAAAAATGTAGGAAATAAAAATTCACACCATAACCTTTCAAATCACAGTATTTTAAAATTGTAGAAGATATCTTAAGAATAGTTTAGTCTAATATCCTATCCTATATCATGAATCTTTTTCATAGGGCATCTGTGTATCCATTCAGTAATGGAAGTGGGAAAGAAAACAAATAATGACTTAAAATATACCTAAACTACCAAGCACATCTCTTCACCTCTCAGCATTGAAACTTTGCTTAGCTTATTCTAAAATGCATCCAGAATAAGAGAGGTTCATTGGAAATGAGGAAGCTTTGGCAGACTTTCAACATACTTGACATAGGTCACAAAATGATAAAGATTTTTTGGTCATTCTCCACCTGGAATGGGTTTGCTCTGGGTGCTGGCAGTTGAGTGTGTAACTCTTGCTCTCTGCGGTTGCTCAACAGTGGTTTTCTTTTGCCTTTGGGAATCCAGCAAATAGAAGTCAGTGGTCAAGGGGAGAAGATTAACTGAAAACACAAATGCGTGAAATAGCAAAGGGGCTATGAATATATTTAGATATGTCCTCTCCTTCAGAAACTCTTAAAGGCTTTATCATGTGCGTCCCTTTAATTCTACAGACACCAGATTTTAGCTGTTTTTGAAGGAGAAAATGACCTTCAACTGGATAAGCATTCCTTGAGTAGCCATTAGATACAGAACACTGTTGGATGTTGCAGTGGGAACCAAAAAGAAGGGGAAACTCAAGGGTGAGTGAAGAAATACAAATCTATCAATATGTAGGTTCTGCAAGCCCTCGACACATGCAATTCTGTGACAGCAAAAATAAGAGAGAAAGATTAATTCTGCCTGGGATGGGGGTAGAAGTGAGTGGGAAAGGGTTTTAGAAAGAAGGTGGTATTTGTTGAGTCTGGGGAGACAGATTTCTCTGTCCTAAATTGGGTCTGGCACAGATCTGATATATAATTAAAATCATAAAATAAGAACATCACTAAAACCAGTAATTTCCTTATTCTTAACACACACACACACACACACACACACACACACACACTTCTTAAGGAAGCTATACATTCCATTTCTGCTGCACATTCAAAGCTATCCCTGGAAGAGGAAGGGAAAAATTGAAACCTAACACCTCCTTCTTTGGGGAAGCTGGATTGGTTGGGGGTGGGGATTAAGGGCCACCTTAACTCCTAAACTTTGGACTTCAGTAACTGCAGAGAAAATTCATCCTGGGATCTTCTGGGCACAAGAGGTCGGAGTTGTGTGTGTGTACAGAGCGGGGTACTACGGTATTCTTCCCCGTCCCCCCCCCAAAAAAAAAACCCTAGCACAGTAGTTGGCACTCAGTAGGAAATAATTTGTAGAATTGATTTTGAACATTTGCTTTGTCCCCATTGAAGATAATAGACCCATTGCCTCGTTCTGCTTCTTCTTCCAGTTTAATTCAGCTTTGGTCTCAGTAGTTAGAAAAACGGGAAAAAGAATGGGGCCATAGCATAGCATCCTGTAAGTGGAGCTATGCAAGGTGAGGACAGAGGTGAGTGCAGCGGAGGGAGCTATTATTCCTACCGCCGCTCAACTCCTGCAGCAAACACTCAAGTCTCACCTTCTCTTTCCTTTCGGGACCCCCCAACTAGCAGAGAGAGCGATGCCGGCGGAGAGGCGACAGCATAACTCTGCCACATTCATTCCCTGCTGCTTTTCTAGTCCCTAGCAGCCTCGCCCCTCCTCCCCCATCCCCAGCCCGGGTCTGGAGGCGATTCCCCTCTAGTGACTGAGCCGACTGCATCTGGGCGAGTGGCTTTTTGCATCCCTCACGTCTTTGTCTCCTCCTCCTGCGGGGCTCTGGAGCCCGGCGCAGGGTCTGCAGCGGCCGCCGCAGCAGCGAGAGCCAAGTCGTGCCCCAAACGGCCGCCCGGGGCCGCACCCTCGCTCAGTGGCGGCGCCTAAAGACGCCAGCCGCGCCACGCACTGCCTGCGTCCCGCGCCCCAGCCACCGCGCATCAACGCCGCGGCCGCGGTAGCCGGGGAGCCGAGCCCGGCCGGCCGGGCAGGTCAGGGGTGAGCAGCCCAGCTTGCAGCCGTTGGAGGTGGCGGGCCACTGCAGCTCTGGCAGCTAGAACACTCCTAGGCATACACACCAAACGCCTCCTCCCTGCGCCACGAGGATGGAGCAGCCATCCCAAGCCCGGACTGGCGCAAGGTAAGGTGCAGCCGCCTGTTGCTTTTCGCAGAGCGCGGGATTGTCTCTCTGCACGGGTGCTTAGGCCGTCCCTCCCGGAACAAGTAGAGGAGAACTGTCACCCAGTTCTGAGCCATTTCTGTCCAACCCCCCTGGACTCTTTGACACAGACCCTTGGAGAGAACCCGCCTGGCCATGAGGAGTCGACCCTCCTTACTCGTGTGCAGCCGACTGCCATGCAAATAGTCTGCAAACTTTTGTGTGACCCCCCCCCCACCCCTGTGCGGTGCTCACCCCGCGCGGAGCAAATAGCACGTTTAGTTCTCGCGTGCGCCCTTCCCCCAGCTCCCCTTGCCATATGCATGTGCCCATTTCTCTCTGTATGCTCTTGCTAGTCGACTTTTCAATTCCTGCAGCTCCCTCTCCAGAGCGAGGGTTTGGGACCCATCGGTGCTTATTTTGCCCATAGAAACTAGATAGCAGCAGACGGAGGTGGGACGTGGGGGAAGGCTGTGGCCACCGCTGAAGCTCTATCCATAGTGGGGGTCAGTCCTCCCTTGCGCACGCCACCCCCAACTCGGTAATAAAATCCTTGGAGTGGCTTTCGGTTGTGCACCTTGGGAACTGCAAGTGCAGATCTGGGTGGGTGAAGTAAGTGATTCCGGGAGGAAAAATTTGCTGGTGGGGGCGCAGGAGGAAGCTGGAGGCGGTGGGGGGAGTAGGACTGCCCAAGGGTGAAGGGGATGAAATGGCTCTGGTAATGTAGGCAAGGGGCTATACCTGAGTGGTCATTGGAGGAGGGGGAAAGACGTTTAAGTCGGGGGGGGGGTGCTGCTGACCCTGGTGTGTAAATACAGATGGGGGAGGGGGGAGGGGTTGGATACCTGGGGGCGGGGGTGCGCAGAGGTGGAACAGAGCCTGGAATTCCAGGGCTCTGGGGGGATTTGGGGAGGCAGACTGCCGGGTTCCTGGGGAGGAGCGATCTCCCTCCCCAGGAACAAACAAACCTCCCCGCTGTAATCTGAATGCGTTGGCATCTTGGGCGGTGACTGAATGGTCAGATCTTGAACCAGGGAAGCTTTTCCTGGCTCTAAGAGGACCACAGTCTCCTCCCTTCTCCAGCACCGCTTGCTTTTACACCCCTTCATCTCTGCAGCCGGGTTGGTAGACCCACGCCCACCTCCCCTGCCGGCACATGGGCGTCCAGGATGTCTCCACAGTTCCAGGGTGAGAAGGGGACTCCTGGCCTTTAGTTGGAGCTGCGTGTGCGGGAGGTAGGGAGTGGGAGTCCCCAGTGCTTAGTAAGTAGGCAGGGGTCCGAACCGGTTGGAGGACAGCGCAGGGGCGGAGGCTGCAGTGGGAGCCACCTTCTTTCTCCCCGCGGCTCCACAAATCGCACCTGGGCGGAGCAAGGGAGTGGGGGAGCCCTGTGCTGCACCTGGGAAGATCCGGAGCGCAGAGCTGGAGGGCGTGTGGGGAAACGCAGAGCGAGGGGTGTGCTCATCGGATGAGGGGAGCCCCAATTCCCAGACTCCGGGCCCGGGCAGAGGTGGGTCTACGCAAATTGCAGCCCCCAGGTAGATCCCTCTGGTTGTTTCAGTTGCTTTGGAGGATTCAGGAAGGCAAGACTCTTTGGTTCTTTGCACTTCAACAATCTGGTGTGCAAGACTAATTGCGGGAGGGGATCTTGTCTGTTGTTGCAAAGAAGAGGCAGCATTATCTTCTTTAGCCTCCTCCCCCCAAATCCCTCTTTTCCGGGTGGGGAACACACTGGGATGCAAAGGCTGGGAAGCACCTCACTTAACCCTTCTCTCCCTCTAGAGGTGCACGCCCCTCTCCAAGCGGTGCCTTTGCCTGAGAGTCGGGTCTACTGATTCTATAAGGAAAGCTTTTGGAGGCTGTGCAGATCTGGGGCCGCGTGCAACTTTCAGGTTCTCCCTGTCCAGACTCTCACGTGCAACATTTTAGGAGCACAGTCTTCTCTACCTTACCCTGTAGACGCGGCTTTTTCTCCTGTAGCAGCTGAGAGAAAGCAGAATTTAGGCAGAGTCCCTTTTCTGGGCCCTTTGGTCAGATCCTTCCAGAAGAGATTTCTACTCATCAGGACTCCAGGGAGGAATCCCGGTGTTGGTGTTGGTCCTTTGAGTTCCAGGGCACCCCTGGAGCAACTAGCTCCCTGCCTCTCTGTAGCAAGCTCCAGAGCCTCAAGGAGCGGGAAAAGGGATTCCCTCCGCGCAGGCTCCTGGTGCATGCAGTTCCTGGGCACAAAGACCACACCCTCACAGGCCTGGCCTGGCTGGTGATAACGTTGGCTTCTTCTGATTTACCTGGATACCTGAGGTAGGATCCCAGACGTTTAAACCCCTCATTCCATATCACTTTGTTTCTGCCACCCCAAGGCCTGTTTCTTTCTGGGTGCTTGTTACCTGGATTTGTGTTCTGGCTCCTTTCTTTGCAGAAAAACAGATTAGAATATATCTCTTGGGAACTTAAGGGAAGGCTCCAAATCCACATCTAGGTGGCTTTTTTTTTTTTTTTTTTTTTTTTTTTTCAGGTTGTCAAGCTATTCTGGGAAGACTAGTAGTAATTAGAATCAATGTTGCTTAGTATTTATTGAGTTTATACTATGTGCCAAGCATTATCCTAGATATTTTATGTCCTTGCATTAGTTTTAACTGGTACAGAAACTATGAAGGTTATTTTTACCATTTTATGGGTAGGAAAACCCAACTACAGAGAAATTACATTATTTGTTCACTGTCATTTAGCCAGCAAATGGTGGGTTTGCTTCCTCTTGTGGGCAGAGAACCCTGGTTGTTTCCCATTCTTCCCATCCTATTTGGACTGTCCACAAGAAAACATGAGGCCCTTTCCCTTTTTCTCCAGACCCCAATATATACTATAAGTGCCAGTCCTTACCTGTGAGCCCCCTGTGGTTAGAGTATGGGGAGACTGACCTTGCACATCACCTGCCTCAGGGTCTCATGGGGTACACATTGGTAGGATGGGATGCTAGTACTGAAAGCTGATTTTGGTCATTGACTACTGGTGTTGGGATTCTCTTCTGAATCTTTAGCAGACATTCCCTTTTTAAATGAAAGGAGAAATGGAGAGGGGGATTTAAATGTGAACAGAGATTTGCTTTGTGGTCAAAAACCAGAGGCAGTTTTAGGTAGCAACTGTATTCTGCATATGAGGGCCTTTCTGGAGATTGAATCACAGAATGTTAGAGCTAAAGGGGATCTCAGACAGCATCCCTCCCAATGCAGGCTCAAGGAGGAGAGTCTGTGCAGGCCACTCAGTGTATCATTAGCATTACTAATGCTAGAGCCACTGTCTTTTGACTCTTAGACAAACAAATTATGTTTATCTGCAAATAGATTATGTTCACTCCTTCTGGTTTTCAGCATTTTAAAAATTAATTAGGGAAGAAGTCTTGTCTATTTTTTAAAAGACTGTTTTGCTCATTTTTCCACAAATGCTTTTTTAATCAGTGTAATGGGAAAAAGTCAGTACCATGTAATGGAGAAGCCACCACAGATATGCCTTTTTTTTTTTGCAAAGAATTGCATCAAAATATTGATGAGCCTTCAAATCAACAAAAAGTAACCAACTATTCAACCCTTTAATGATTCTAAATAAGACTAAACGGATTCCCAATCGTTTTAGCAAAGTCTTTCTATCAGGACTAAATAGCTCAGTCCTGCCTCACTACCAGGTATTTATGAAAATAAGGGAAAATGTAGTATATCAGAGAGTCAAATCCTTTGGATGCAATGAAATGAATTGGTATGACTTCTCCTGGATTCCTGACACTTGAGTTTAACTTTTATGCTGATATAATTCTGACGTAAAACAGTGTATTCCTAATAGATATACCCCAGACTCAGAAAGAGAAGAAATTTTTCTTTGCAACTTCCTCCCCTACTGAGCCCTTCCATAGAGGGAACTTCTACCAGTCATTTAGAAATTTTGTAGACTTCTAGGGGTTCTTGTGAGATGGAATTCTGGTTTCTAGGAACACCCTATGTCTTTTCTAAGAAGCCATAGTCCTGTCTGCTATTCTTCCCTTGGAGACAAACCAAGAAAAAGTCAGCTGGAGGGAACAGGGCCAGAAGGGGGAAAAGCCTGTTTTTCAGAATTGCATCTGGGCAGCAAGGGTTATAGGCGGACAGTGGAAACCTAGAGGCGTTTGTATCACCTGTAATAGGATTTCCATCCCTAATGCTGTGACGTACCAGGATAGCTGCCCTTGGCAATGACTGGTGTGGAGGAGGAGGTGAGAATGAGGTAACCGTGTCCTTAGAGGAGGTGAGATTTGGCTCTTGAGGGGCCCTGGTGTGACGGAAATGCCCATGGTGAGTGAGTGTGTGTGTGCCAGGGGTACCTCCTCCTCCCCTTCCTTCCTACCGCTACCTCAGCTGGCCATCTGTGCCAGGTTGACTGATTGAATCCCAGAGCCCCCAATTTCTCAAGGGAAGCATTCACTTTCTAGAAAAGTCATGAGAAATGAATCTTGTTCTTACATAAGTAGGAAAACATTCCACACCTGCTGCTCTCTTCAGAGAGAACCACAGAAAATCAGATTACCCCGAAGGTTAACCTGGAGGTGAAGACACTGGTTTGGTTGGATTATAGCAGTTAAAAAAAATGGAACTTTGAAATCTACTGTGACAAAAGCCTATGAAATGGTCTCTGGGGATGCAGAGAAAGGAGAATTTATTTGAATAAGGGCAACATCCTGGTTTCCAGTTGCTAGATCTTCCAGGGGAGGTGGTGGAGCTAGCTGTAGCCTCATCTGACCTCATTTGATTCTTAGGGTCCACAACTCCACTTCCTCTTATATTGTGGCTCATGTGTGGTGTAGTGTCAAGTGGCCCACATAACACTTCTGTTGGCATAATTCTTGGAGCATGTGTTTATTTTCAGTCATGTAAATAAGTTTGTTGACATTTAGAATATCAGTTACTATTAAGCAACATCCTTAGAGACAAAGGAAATTAAAAATGAAAAAAAATTCATCCTGAACATATTGAATAAATAGGCTTATGTAATACATAGTGTAAGAATTTTTTAAGTTAGACATTTAAAATAAAATATAATTAAGATCTAGAGCATCTGATAGACTATTTTTTTTTCTTTTTTCAATTTTTTAATTTCCTGACCTAGACTATTTTTTAATAACAAAAGAAACCAAGTGATAAGATTCTGTGGAGTTTGAAGGAAAAATTGGAAATAATTTTTTTTAAAAAATGCCAAAGTAGAGCCTGAGTAGGTTTACCCACATGGATTTATGTTAAATAAATATATATCTTAATTCACATTTAGATTTGAAATAACCTATAAGACTAAGAAATTTAGTACAGTATTCATTTCCTCTGTAGATTATAACTTTGGTGAAGTTTGACAAATGGCTTGGGACCAGGATAGAAGCTCTTCTGTGACACTAGTAAATATATATTTTATAAAATATTAGTGAATCAGTAAATCCCGATACAGCATATGAAACAGGCTTTTCATATGAGAATGAAATTTGGAATCTTCTCATGAGCTGTTAGTCTTCCTCCAAATAGTAAAAAAAAACATATAATTCTTTAAAAATAAATGAATAAACAATGAAAAAAGAACCTCCCCCCATAAAGGAGATTTTATTCTTTAAGAGGATAAATGAACAGATTAGGAAAGGTTATGAAATTTATGATTTCATTTGATCCTAAGCTCTCTGAGCTACATTTTTATGTTAATACTTGTCCAGTGCAAATGTCACTATAATTTAAGATGTTTTTTTTTTCAAGAGTGTTTGGTGGCTTTTATTAAAAGTAGAATGGAGACAAATATTATAAAAGCTATGTCAAGGCATTCTCAACCATGCAGCAACATTTAACCAAATAACATGCTCCCAAATATAGGTTAGTTTCATGGTTTTTTTTTTTTTGTTTTGTTTTTTGCTATTTTTCTCTCCCTCCTTCTCTCATCTTTCCTTCTTTCTACTCCTTCCTTCCTTCTTCCCTTCCTCCCTTTCTTCCTTCTTCTCTCCCTTTTCTCTATTCCTTCCTTCCTTGTATTTTTTAGGTCATTGATGGACCTTAAGTATTTCAGTATTCAGTACCTTATTGGAAGAGATTGCTTTTTCAGAATAATGATGTCCCCTGGCTAGAACAGAGATGAAGGCACAGTGTACCTGTGTATTTGTCCAAAGCTAAAGCGGGGAAATCACAAGGTCTCTCATTGGCTCTCCCCTTAGTGCTGTAACCTCGGCTCTAATTTGGAGGAACAGTCATGGTCCAGGCCTGCTTATGATGGCTCCCCTGTTAGCCATGACTAATCAGTGTGCTTTCCATGTGCTACACTCGGAATGTGTGCTTGGAGGAAAGTCCTGGTGCAGACTGCTGATCTTCCTTAGACATTTGGCCCTCATGGATTATCTTCCAACCTTTCCACGAATTATATTTATGCTTGGGTTTACAAAGCTTTGATCTTTCTGTTGTGGTATACTGTGTGGTCATGTATTGGGGTAGTCAGCCTGTGTTTCCAAGGGTGTCTCAGAAATACCTCCTTTAAATAAAGTAAACATTAAGACTGAAAGGAAAGTTTAATGTAGATTATGAGTGCCCAGAGCCTGTGCCACAGAACCTGTGAAGGATGGCCAGCTAGGTCAAGAGAGCCCAGAGAGACAACAGAAAAGGAACAGAGAAGAAGAAGGTGGTAAGAGAGAAAGAGGAGATAAGAGACTTGGCCACAAGGGAAAGAAGTCACTCAAAGGAGGAGAATCCAGTAATTACGAGATATAGAGACCCAGTACATCTTATCCCAAGGATAAAAAGGAAAAGACATAAAAGTAAGAGTAGATTAAAGAAAGAGATGAGATTAGTAAGACCGGAAAAGAAGAGGTATGCAGATAAAATGAATGTTCTAAATAATTCCTAATTGTCTAGATCAACTTAGAACAGGCTAAGTCCTCAGCCAGAGCACATGGCCCTTCTCACATTAATATAGCTTCTCAGTCACCAGGCCAATGACAATGACTCTTACTCTCATCTGTGTCATAGTGCCCTTTGATGAAGCATAGGAACCCCATAAAGATGTTTAAAATAAAATAAATAGTATTATAAACAAACTAATTTTAATAAAATAGGTATTTATCTAGCTATGAAAGAAACTATTGTTACTAATGCACATACCCCATGTAATGCATGTACAACAAGCTCTAGAGGGGTACTAATGGCTTCGTCATTTCAAGGCAAGGTTGAACATAAATACTTCTGTGAGATACTTGTAGCAACTATATCATGATATAAAATCCCCAATTTATATCAATGACAAAATCACTGGTTCTGCTA